TTAGTGAGACAACCAACATCTCAACGTCAACAGGATTCAGAGACAAATAAACAGTCATAACCACTAAAAAAGTAGATTTATTGCTAGCACAAAGCGTAGTAATATTTCGAAACCGACTTTCCTTGAACCTCGGTATCACACTATGCAAGTTCGAGTGCGTCGTTATCACGCTTCATCTCAAACGACGTCTGGGACTGATATAATAACATGTGAGAGGCGCATTACCCATTGATATGAGCTCTGCGCGGTTGGTCTCCATGTGGGATACTCACTGGAAGTCTCACGGAAAGCCATAAGTGTGCGATGAAGCTATTCAAGCTCTGAGGAATGCGAAGTTTACCGAAATGTCTGCTCTTTTAAATAGAGCATCACCAATAAAGTAAATAAAAGTAGTAAAGTAGAGTGACAACCTAGCATGTACTTATCGATAAAGCAATTTTGATAGTATATTAAGGACGTCACATATGCTGCTAACGCTAAGATGTCGGCTAACTCGTATAAATTCAGAATGAAGTGCTGACATTAGAAAAACTGAACATTCTTGATTACGCCAAAACTACAAAGATGCTGAGATATGAGCGAAAATCGGGACCTCAGTTGGGCTTCGAAGCAGCGCGGCTATCCACGGTACCAATCAAAGCCCTCGCTTTGCATTTCTCTCGCTCAGTTTCTTATTCTGTCTGTGTTATCAACAAGTCTCCGTCAACAGGTATGATTGGAGAGCACAAACCGGCAATGAATCCAGTAAAACGTGAACATGAGTGCCCGGTAAGGTAACCGAGGGGTTGGGGCTCACCTGTAGTTCGGAGTTCTGCTAATATCTCTGCATGCTTGTTGCTGTAGTTCACATGGCACCCTACCCTGAAAAGAGAACGGGCAATAAATAAAAGCTAAGACGTTATGCCAAAACCGTTTATTATTATCCTTCAATAAATCACACAGATCGAATATGTGTCTAACAAATTCATCTATAATCTCCGTTGTGTCCACGATATTCCTAGTTTTCTTCTTTTCACCAGGACAAATTGTTAGATTTAAATCAGAAAACTTAGTTAAACAAACAGTCATCATGTATAATGCGGAACCAGCTACGTCATCTAATCACCTTGTTCGTCGTTGATGGAACTCGTTAAGTTCGAATGTAGCTTCGGAATAAGATTCTCGGGGATGTTCCCGCTCTTCATTGTTGGTGAGCCGTTGGCCATTTTTGATTGGAAAATGTTCGCGGCTTTGTGACTAGGGTTATTCAGATATGGCAGCGAAGGCTACAGTGATGTTGAGTCCCTTCGAATGACCAAATGAGGGCGGTGTAATTGACCCAGTCTGAATCACAAAATAGGAGAATGCGTGAGCACACCTATAGATATGGAAAAAGAATTATGCAGGGAGTTTTGAGATGTCTTTTATATAAATGGGAACAAACTACAGAGAACACAGCCTTTAGCATGTAAATACTTGCAAATTCAATGATTCTTCCTGTCCATGTTCCTCCCGTTTTGGTTATTGAAAAAATACTAATCATCGTTAAAGCTTGAAGGTGAGGAAATCAGTAACTCGGAAAGAAATATAAGGTTCACAGCTGTATTTTCTAATGAACGTTACGTCTTAGTGACACTACAGTACTTGATTCAAGCACATCAGTAGGTTAGCTATGATTTGCGAAGAAATTATTCATTTATTCATCACATGACGGGAGATCGGATAATGTGCGGATCCCAGCACTTCTTTCATTAGGTTCACTTCCACACATCCATCAAACACAATGATCATCGGATTTGAGTGCGAGATCAGCTGCTGTTTGAGGACTTCTTGAACTTTGCTGATCATTAAGCTGGTCGATTCTTTCTGGACTTCTAAGATTGCTGCTCTGAGCCGTTTCCACAAGCGACAGTAAGAATACTAGTGTTTGGAATTGATGCCAGTAGAATAGAATGCCCAGAAGAAAATCTTCAAGTGGAACTGGTTGAGGTGCTCGTCAAATAAAAGTTGAACCGTGTTTGCAGCTAATTTCCAACTAGGTATTGACATCACGTTTAATCGCTGCCTTCCCCTTTATATGACCAGTCTTATATGAGGAAAGAAGTTAAATAAAATGTTGCGCACTACATGCGATATATAAAATGCTGTTATCAAACTACCTCAATCTAACATCTTTAAGTTCATTTATGATTTTAGCTTTCACAGTCATAGTTTGCTTCCAAAAAACTCGTTTCGCAATCTTTCTAATGTTGTATCGAAAAAAAAACGTTAAAAGATGTGATAGTCGTGCTTCGGTTCGCTCTTAAAAGAATAATCTGAAATAATGTTAGTGCTTCTTGCTATGCATGAGGAAGCATTCGCTGATTTTCGTGTTCACAGAGCAACATACTAATCCGCATTGATGATGAACAACAAGAGTACACGCATCTAGTGGGCTAACGATAGATCTCTAGATATGACGTTGGTAGCGCTTGGCTGCCAACCGGAAACTTGACTAGAAATACGATTAGTCTTCAAGAAATTGTAAACACTTTGTGCCCAAGATGCGTTGTCGAGTTTGTCTGACTTAGCTTCGAACAAGAACCACTCGAGGATAACAGCAGCAAGGCGCCGCGTACAAGCATTTTGATCACAAAAAGGGACAGAAAGACAAAAAAAGAAATAGAGCGTGCGTCCACGGTTCTCCCTCATAGAGGGATCTCATGCCGGTTTATTGCAATGCAACGTGGCGCGGCCTATGTGGGTGATAGGGGCTAATCACGAGCCAAAAACGACCTTTCCTTTCTTGAGGCGGAGGTGAATCCAGGGGATAGACTCAAATCTTTGCTGCCCTGATTTGGCACGTGTCTTCTGTATTTACGAGAATGTATTCATTCACGTGTGCGCTGGTGGCTTTTCATGCGGATTGTATTCTACGAGTCAATTCGGCCAAAAGCCTGCATCAAGTGAGTGGGAAGTATATGGGGGGCGGTTAGGAGTCACCTCCAACAAATAAGCTCCATGTGCACTCTGGGAGAGCCTGGCAAGCTACCCGTGAACATACCCAGCCCCCACGTTCAGAGCCCAGCAAGCTATACGTGGGTATCAAAAATGCTAAACACAGTAGAACAAACGGGCCTCACTGCTCTGACCTGACCCCAATTCGGCAGCATATCGTAGTACGAGTACGGGAAGGCCGCTAAAATCTTGGGCCATTCTAGAATGCCTAAATCGCAAAGGACTAAGGTGACGATCTATACTTACAATGCACGCACGCTTGCATCTGAGTCCTCGATAGAAAACTTAATCATGCAGGAAACAAAGATAAGGTACGACGTCATCGGACTGGCCCAGACGAAGAGACGTCACTCATTCAACTCCTACTATGACACCGGAGAAGAACTGTTCGTCGGAATGTGCGACAGTAGTGGAGTCGAGGGCGTCGGCGTTCTCGTCAGCACGAGTTTGACCATGAATATCGACTCATTCGAACGATCCGAATCGGATTGCTTACGATTGAAGAGATGTGGAACGATACCGGATTTGATAAATCTCGTCGTTTAAGCATCGACATCAAGCTAAAACAAACTCTAATAGCTCCTTAGCGACATAGCACAATTTTACAGAGAAGACCATACATTCCCTAAGATCATCATTTTAGATGTTAACACTAAGACTGGACCCAGAAAACTTCTGAAGAGCGTCACATTGGGATCCACGGGTTAGAATGAAACGAGAAGGGTGAGCGGCTGCATCAGTTTATGATGACGTCCAAAACTGTTCACTGTAACTCACAATTCCAGAAGCCCCACTCTCAACGCAAGATGTGGGACTCTCCCGATTGAGAGTACTATAAGGAAATGACCACATCATAAAAAATAGAAGGTTTTGCCTAACCGATGTCGCTATTATCCCAAAATTCTGCACGTATTCAGACCACCGCCTCCTTCGTGCGAGATTCCATTTCTCGCAAAAAGAGAAAAAACCGCTAAATTCAAAAAACGAAGTCTCAAAAAACCATGAACCGGGACTTAGTCAATTCAACTTGTATTAGTGGGCTGTTGGGAAGATGTCGTCTTCGATAACATTGACGAGGAATACGGTGGGCTCATTCGACATCTGCGGTAACGCTATAAAAGCCGAGAGCTCGAACGTCACCAAGACACACTTGTCTCGAGAAACACTCCAGCTGGTACGCCAACATGGAATTGCCCGAGCTACAGGCAACCGCCAACTGACGTCAGAACTTGCAAGACAGTGTAGACATGGGATAAAACAAAATCTTAAACAGAATGGAGCAGGAAGCTACAGAGGCTGAAAAGAGCATTTGTAAAATTCACCGAAGCCTCTCTGAAAACAAAACCAACATGATTGCACTCGGGCTTCCAGATGGAATAGTAATAGCTTCCAGAAGGACAGAGGACAAAATCACTCACGACCACTGGTCAGATCTCTTTAGTAGCCACGTCGTTCGTCCCTTATCTTAAATAAAAAAGGATAGATATGTTGTACCACCGGTTCTCCCTTCCGAAATCTGACCTGCTATTACGTCGGTGAAGAATTGAGCAACACCAGGTCTGAATAGGATAAAATTTTAACATTTGCAGAACTCTTCGCCAGTCCTCATTTAACCCACTGGCTTGGCTCTTCACACATTACCTATCAGTATGCAAAACTGAAAAACCAGGAAGGCTATCACTGTACAAGATGGGTTATCTTCAGAGTATCGGTAACTACCGTCCAATCTGCTTACTGTCTAACGCTTACAGGCTTTTCACTCGAGTCACCCTGCAGAGGATTGACGGGACACTGGATGAAGGACGGCCATGTGAATATATGCGTCAGAAACTTGGTTGCTGCGTAAGTATGATGAGAGGTCATCTAGCGTTATTAAACGCGCAGTCGAAAGGAGGATGCTAGGAGTATCCCGTGCTGCACAAGTGAGGAAAGGAATCCGAAGCTCCGACCTGCGTCCATGATCAAACGTCAAGGATGCTGTTTTATACACCAAAATGTAAAAGATAAGGTTGGTTTGATCCGTAATGCGTATCAATGACTACCGATGGACAACAACCGTTAGTGACTGGATTCCTCAGGATGTTAAATGCACTGCAGGAAGACCGGCGACCCGACGGTCAGAGTTTTTCAAGAAAACTCTAGAACAAAGGTATGATGCTCAACGATTATCTATAGCGAACAGAACCCACTGGGGTACTCTTCCACGCGACAAGGAAAAGTGGGAGATTTACTGGCGTCGGCTCGAGTCATTCCACATTCAACGGGACTACAGAGTACAGGTGACACAGGTGATTAGATCTCGTATATGGGACGGATCAGCTGTAGTGATGCCGTTCAAGACAAATATAGCACTTTTTCGACTCCGTACTGGGCTCACCAAGCATCTCATCTTTCCGGGTTCGGGAATTACTACCGAACTTACCTGGGAACAACTCACTCCTTACAATTCAAGTGGTTAGAGACAGTATTCTTTTAGATCATTGAGCTAACTCGAGGTTGGTGTAAAAATACTTATTCGGCTAATTTTTCTTCGTCTTCTTCAGTAGGAACGCTCCAGCCTGACTCTCCAAGCACTTCAGAGAGAATTGAGTCCATCAATATTCAGCGACATTCATAAATAAGATGGCATTCCTCGAGGACCAGCCGAACTTGTGAACGAAAAGCTCGAAAACCGTCCCGTATGATGGATGCGAGGGAACGAATAGAATGCAGGAGTGCTCGGATCCACACAGTAGATGTGAAAGTAGTTTGTACACAATTTAAAAGGTTAGATCTTGTGTAAATCACCTTTATTTCCTGTTCTTCTTCAGATTTCCACGATTTGCAAGGAACTCTTAATGAAGTCTCAAATCCTCCGTAGATTACCATGCTATGATTATCCAATGGATTATCCTCGCTCAAAAGAATCAACACCGTCGCATTTTTCGCCTAGAATCGTCGCCAAAATGCTATCCATGTAGCTTACGGTCTTCCTGCTATGCGTGTGACATATTGCATGATACAGTCCCCTAACTGCTCTTGTCCACCAGTTCCTGTTAAGACACATCACTTCTTCACCTCAGTTGATCTTTGGAATCTAGGTCGAAGCACCCGCAACTTTTACCACCCGTTCTCGGCATAGGTTGGGGTGTCCGATTCATTGTATTCGCTACATGATATGGAATGTTTTAAGCACAACGTCCTCGATAGCACATTTGATTACAGTCGTCTCTACTTTCACCTTCCTTACCCAAGCTTTGAGGCAGGAATTACAAAGTAAGAAGAATTGCAGAAACCAAAAGATGTCGAAGTGAGGATCCATGTCCCATTCAAAACTGAAGCATTATAAGATAGTCGATCCTCTGAGTATGAATGCGGCATCAAAAATGGTCCAGCTCTAAGCACATATCAGGCATTTCACTTGTGTAATCGAAGTCTTCTGGCACCAGTTCCATTTGGCATTCAGTGTTATAGAAATGATGTTATTAATAGGAAAATGCTGTGATTGCTGCATATGGACAATCACTCTCTATTACCACAACCGACTTTCAATTAACCTTGGCACTGATCGAATAATTCACTGTTCTTTTGATGACCAAACACGATGTTGTCACTCTATTCTTTATTTAAAAGCAAGCTTAAGTTTCGGCCGATTTCGACTTCCTTAGAGCTTGGAAAGGCCGAGTTGAATGCACCCAGTCTGTTTGTTTCTAAATAAAGAATAGGTGACAACTTCATATTTTCTCATCAGAATAACAGTGAATTATTCTAGATTGCCTCATTTCAGTCCTAATGTAATGCTCAAGACAGGTGTGCTAAACGACTATGGAGGGAGGTGTATTCTCCCATTACAAGTTTAATTCAAGGAGGACGGCAAAACTCTAGTTATGAGGTTGGTGTATATAATATAATATATAAATAATAACATATATAAATAATATATAAAGAATCTCGGTTAAGAAGTTCTATTTGTGCAACGTTTCCATATTAACTTCTCCCTCGACTGAACCTTAAGCTCTCTTAAGTCAATGCAAGTAGAACAAAATGGCATCCCAGATTTTCGCAATAGTTCGATAACTCTCTTAACCATTTAGATACAATACACTGCGCTGAATCCATCTCGTTGATAGCAGCAAGTCCATAATTGCTTCTAGTAATTCATTGAAGTTTTCGCCAATCATACCATCCTGGGCTCTCCTGATCTTCAAGGCTGTCGTGTTTACTAATTATAAAACTTTCGAAGGAAAATCTGCATCGTCGTCGGCTCTCTGGCCCATGACGTTAATATCACCAGAGTAACATTCCTAGTTTGGAAAAGTGAGCTCGTTTTTTTTTCATGTTTATTCCAATGGCTTAAAATCAACCATAAAATAATACAAAAGGAATGATTTTATAAAATCCCCAGCTCTAATACAGTTGACTACTTCCAAATGCACATGACGACCACATAAAAACGACGATGATCAATAAAATCAATATTAATCTGGAGATTGAAATCTGTTTTCTAAACCTCATTTGGTTTCGCTAGGAATGAATACGGTGAAGACAATTTTGTTGCGAAATCACACATGAGTGCAAATGACATCCTTAAGTATGCCGTCTTCAGCAGATATTGCGTTTGTCAAGGCGTTGAAGTGGTAAATGGGCAAGTTCAATCAACGAGGGACCAATTCCTCAGAAAAGAACCGCTTCAAGCTTAACAAGAGTATTTGCTTCGTAGAAATACATTCTCCAATTTTTTCAGAGTTACACCAATCATCATCCTAATTTCCATCTTTTCAATCGTTATCAGCCAATTTTTTATGCTATTGGAATGATGAAGCTGAAATTCTACTTGTAAAAATTCTTCGTCATCGCCTAGTAATGGCAGTCCCAGTCTCGTCATTCAAGAAGGAAAGAAAAGCGTTGATTCGCGACGACAACAACCTATCAATAGCCAGCACCAAAGATGAAAATTCCCGTTTTCTCGTTCTATTTTCAGTCCATTGAGGTGAACTTCCGAAACACTGACTCGTTCTATTTTCAGTCCACTGAGGTGAATTTCCGAAACACTGACAAACTACACAGCCCAAAAACTAGGCATAAAAATCCATTGTGGCTGAAGGATGAGAAAAGCAATTTTGCGAAAGAAGATTAACTACAAAGCTTGACTAGGCGTATTCACGGCCAAATTTCCATCTGGTTAAACTACACCTGGCTATTTCACAGTGGAATGAGCATCATAGAGGCAAATCTATTCACATGTTTAGTGAATTCTATTTTCTTAAACGTGCTAAGAAGCACTTACGGAAAGAAATAGACTCTAATTCTCAATGTAAGACCTTCATACTATTACTATTACAGAACATAACATCTATCTATGCAGCACTTACATGAGCTGCGCAAAGAAATTATAAATAAATTATAGCTCGCTCATTAAACCTATCAAAAAAATAAGCTCAGCAGCCTTTTTTCGTTATTCATAGCACTGAAGGCAGCTTATCATAGAATACAACAACATATCTTTGTCAATAAGGTGTAACCTCTCTGAAGCCAGTGAGGTGAAATCGACAATAACCCTTAAAACTTTCCAGAAATTCAGTGATGCTGGATATGCAGGATCCAGTGCAATTGCAACAAGCACAATCTACATCATGTAAGGAAGAATAAGGGGTTTTAAAGCTTCTACTATCAACGCATTTGCAACAATAGGCAGTGATATCAGCGCGTGTCAGCGCTTAAATAGTCTCACCTTTCAATTTTAAACAAGTACATCTCAACTCAAAATGAACTCTATCAATTAATTTTTTTATATCAGCAGAATCTACATAACTTTGCCAATAAAGTGTAACATCTCTCAATCGAATGAGACGAGATCGTGATTTTCTAGAAGCAACAAATCTTTCTTTTTTCTCGTTTTCATTCACCGATGCAAAAACAAGGCGATTGCACAGGCGCGATTTTGGTCAACAAAGCAATGACATATTGCCCAGTATGTGGATGATATTTGGGAATGCCGCGCAATCACCAGAATATCTTGAAGTTCTAAAATCCGACTTTTTTGGAGATTAGAACTTCAGTGGAATAGAAAACTAAAAGAATATTTCATAAAAACTGTACGTACTCGAAGAATAAAATGGTATAGTAGTTAGAGGTTCTGCGCAACATATAAGCTAGTTCGATTCCGCGTCTCGAACGAACGAAGTTCTCTATTCCTCCAAGGTAGAGAAATCGTCACCAGACTTGCTTGGAATGATATTTGAAAACGTGATATGATACATTGGTACGTTACCATAGGACTACAAGTCCAATATCCATCCAATCATCTCTACGATGCTTTATGAAGTCGAATCATTGGCGCATCCCGAAGGAATTAATCAATGCCGAACGATTTATCTTCTTGTCGTTTTCACCTGTGTTAAAGCAAAGCTGTCTCCAACAACGTACCAAGTTCCCAAATCTTCAAATAGACTATTTATTGGGTTACCAACGGAACTTGTCGACGACCCAGTATCGTCGTAAATGTATTAGAGCCTAACACATACAACTAATGCTGATTCTTGATTTGCATTATCTCAAAGCATATCCTAGCAATTCTCATTTCAAGTAACATATAACTCTCGACACTTAAATGTGCGTGGTTGAAGCAACTGATGACAGCCAATTTTACGCCGGTTAAGAATTTGCAGCTTTCCCGTTAATTAGGAGCTAAATGAGTTGAGAACATGATATAGATTTTGCTCTGTCGCCCAAATGCCACATTTTACTATAGCTCACCATGCATTCACACTGCTGTCAGGATTCGGAAGTGTTGCACACCTAATGGAGTGTCTGTTCTTGTATTCCTCACACTCCTCCACTCCACACGATAATTATGATTCATCATAGCGAAGGAATGAAATAAGAGTCAACAACCCGTCAAACTCCCGGTCGATGAACTGATTCGAAAGGAGTTTATCTTTTGTAAATCATTAACTGCAAGGGAACAACTTTACATGGACCACGCCTAACATAACATCTGCGCCGGACAAGTGGACAAGATGCCCACTGAGTACAAAAAGTGGTGTAAGAAACTATACGTAACAAAATCAAACTCTAAAAATGTAATGCGTAAAATGTAATACACTCCGTCCACTTTGCTTCCCCGCTCCCTCGGATGCATACCATATAACGAATCTCACGCGTTATACGTTTAAAAAGTTCACTATAACTTGACATTGGATGTTCACTACGATTGTCTGAAGATTAACGGCGTAATTAGTTTTACGCACAGTGAACCACCGCTCTCAACGAACATTATAAAAGTCAACCATAAAGTCACCTTCCGAATTATCTGAAACGTTGGCAAACACTGCGAAGAACAAGCGCGTCCATCACACTGTCAAAACATCAACAATGTGACAACAACGAAGAAGACAATGAAGCATTGTGCGAGACACACATCTGTAGATAAAAATAGAACTCACACCATTACTACTAGCATAAGTAAACTCATCCTTTC